GGGCGATAGCGTGGACTACGGTCCCTACAAATCGTAGAATGGTGTCGCTAAAGTTTACAACGTCACGAAAAGATGTGCACAAAACGTCGGAGGAAACAACTTTGATAGCAATAGCAAAAACTGTAAGTTCAACCAGCTGATTTGATAACAAAGTTGCATGTTATAAAAGTAAGTTATCCGCAAAATTAAATTTCGGAATTTAAAAAAGCGATGAACAAAAGAATATTCGGCATACCTAAAGAATACCTACCCTTGAGCGAGAGAAAAAAGAAAACGTGGACGTGGTGCACCCCTTTCTGCTGAGTTGAATGGTAACTTTTTTTTTTGGTGCAAATTGACAGGGGCGGCGCTAGGGGGGGCTAAACGTGGAATTTTCAACATTTTCAAATGCTTATATTTTGAAAACTATTGAACCGATTTTTAAATCATGGACACAGTTGGAAAGGTAATTGAAGGACCTTTCATTCAATATATCTGTGTTCGTATGGAAAAGTAGCTTATGTCGAAAGGCTGGCTTTAGTATAATGCCATACGAACACAGATATATATCTATGTGCATAATGCAAACATATTTTGAGAAAAATTAAAAAAACGAAATTATCACAAGGTTTTTTATAAAAATGTATGTTTTTCGTAAAAAAATACGTAATTAACTATATTAACAAATATGTTTATCGGAAAGTCCATAAAAATACCTTTAATTTGGCGTATAATTTTATATAGTTAGGTTTAAGTACAACTGCAGGCAGTGCAATAAAACAGCTGTATTAATGTTATATGTTCTCTGCAAGAGGTGTTCAGCCCCTTTTATTTGGCAACACAGAAAGAATAATTCTACGTAGTGATGGTTATAATCCCTAAGCGCGGCCGATGGCCGCCTACGCAAAAAGGTGTTCTCTGCAAAAGGTGTTCTGCCCCTTTTTTTTGGCAACACAGAAAGGAGAATTCTACGTTGTGAGGGTTATAATCCCTTAGCGCGGCCAAGGTCGCCTACGCAGAAAGGAATTATACGCAAAAAAAAATGTGGATAGCGTAGCTTGATTAATTATCCATTTAATTCTACAACTCAATCTTATAACAAATAATGTGATTAAAAAAATGGTTTGTATATATTTCTTTAGTATTTTTTTAATTTTAATTAAATTTTTATAAATGCTTAAGAGAGTCAAATTTGATGTCCACAAGAATTTTTTGCTACAAGTCATATATCAAATTAACGGTATTTTTGTGCTCTTTCTGATAAACATATCTGCTAATATAGTTAATTACG